AGCAACAAGCCCAAGCTTTTGGAATAATCCTGGAGCAGCAGCAAGCTCCTGCCTCTTCACAGCAGGGTTTTTAACCTCATTTTATAAAATGCAGGTCGGGCAGTTCTAGGAGGGGCTGTGGGAGACGCTGGGTTTGCGGGAATGCTGCTCCACAGGAGGACAGGAGATGGGCTGCTGTGCTGGCCCCGGCAGCGTGACAGCTCTGGTTTTGGGAGGGCAGAGGGCGTTCATCTCAGGAGTACAGATGATCAGTGGTGTTCTCGGAGGCCAGGGCAGAACAAACGCGCTGGGGTCACAGCGGGGAGGTCAGCACCAGCTGCATGGGCGGCTGCCACGGGCTGGACACGGAGGGTGGTCCTGGCCACAGGAGCACGCAGCCCCACACCTTCATCTGCCCTGAACTCCTCCTCACCACCACCCCACTGGGAATTCTGTCATTTCATGGGTGGACTGGAAGCGATCATGCTTGTGCTGGACAGCAAGTACGGAACTAAAGGAGGACTTCAAAGCTTTGAAGATGGTCTGTGAAGTATTTACCACAACAACTCCCCTAAAAGGGCTGACACATCTCCATGGGGTGGAGTTTCTGCCAATTAATCGTGTAATGAATGCTGCCAACAGGAAAGGGAGAGCAGGTCCTCTTCCATGGATGGATGGATGGATGGATGGATGGATGGATGGATGGATGGGTTGGAGATGGGCAGCAGGCCCAGGAGCCTCTGCGGACAGACTGACAGGGACAGGGTCACGGGGGCAGGCAGGGCCCCACAGACAGAGGGAGCATTGCAGAGGATTCCGGTGGGGAAGGTTGGATGAATGCATTCCCCAAGGACATGAAGGGGAGCAGGAAATGCCCAGCTTTGCCTGTCCTGCACGAGGATAAGGACCTTGTGGAGGCTGGGAATGCTCCTTTCTTCACCTCCAACCCCCCTTTGCTCACCATTTGGGCACCGAGGTGCAGCGCCAAGTGTTCAAACCACAAACAGCAGCGGCCAAGGAGAAAGGCGATAATGTGGAGATGCTCCAGAGGGATAAACTCCCAGGGATAAAGGGAGCATGGTGGAAAAGAGAGGAGCCTGCACAGCTGGGTGGTGAGAGTTTTGGGGAAGAGACAGGATGAGAGAGAGACGTGGATGAACAGGATCAACTCCTGAAGGTTCTCTCCTGCTACACCTGCTACTGTGTGCCCTAAAGAAATGTCGGCAAGTACCCGAGCCTAGAACCTCACCAGTCCGAGGCAGGGCTAAACTTGTCAGCCTGGGCAGCCTGGGAAGGTGCAGACTGAGATCTGGACGTGGCCCTGGCAGCTGGAAGTCCCTGCTGTTTGCTCTGGAGACATTTTAGACAAAGAGATGTCCCCATGCTGCTCTTACCACATGGAGAAAGGTATGAGCAGCAAAACCAGCCAGACATTGGGAGAGACAGAGCCAAAGCTGCTCTGCTTCGCAGCTGGGGCAGCCAGCTCCTCACTGTGCCTCAGGGCATCCCCCAGGGATGGGCAGCTCTCCCGTTTCTCCCCTTCCCACCACGTTATCCCAGCTCAGCATCCCCCAGGGATGGGCAGCTCTCCCCTTCCCATCACGTTATCCCAGCTCAGCATCCCCCAGGGATGGGCAGCCCTCCCCTTCCCACCACGTTATCCCAACTCAACGTTTGGCTGATGAAAGTCACATAAACAAGACATCTTGCCAGGCAAGGGCTATTATTCAGGTGGGATGTGTACTCCAAGCTGTGTTTAAAATTCTGCTCACAATCCAGCGTGGTTCATATTTGCCATTTTAACACTCAGCAGGATGCTTTGGGGTTTGAGAAACATCGGGTCAGAAGAGATGTGACCTTTGAGACAAATAACACCACAACCTGCAATCGTTTGTGTTAGCAGAGCCCAGCCATTAGTGCAAGCGCATTCCAGACACAAAACATGCCACGAGAAAAAAATCCATGCACTCAAGACGTCACACAGCAAAGGCTCTCAGGAAACCGTGAGGACAGAGGTGCAGCTGGTTTAGACAGAGGTTTGGATCTGCAGGGTCTTTGGGGTAATTAATTGCCCAAAGGCTGCAGGATTTTATCTGCTCCTGGGCTGGCAGCACTAGCTCTGTGCTGTGAGGTGTTTATTAACCTGCTCTGCTAAAGTGGGTATTTATTAAAGGCCCTCAATAGCTACACCTTGGGCAGTCAAAGCCTCCCAGAGGCCTCACCCAAGGTGGATGATGGTCATGATATTTTCACACAATTGTAAGTTTTGTCTATTTACGTATCAGGAGTTAATCCTTCAATTACAGCTTCAGGTAATGAAGTCACACACTCCCAGTTTGCTCCCCACAATTTACTTTTGTTTATACTTTTTGGGGCCTGAGGCTGTAAGGTATCCTTGGATCTCAGGCCTAGAGGGACTGTTCTTCCTGCTCAAAATGTGAAGACAGTATCCAACACTTTATATGGAGTTTAGAGCTATGCATTAAAGCAGTATACAGAATCTGAAAGATACAAAAGCTAAAATGCTAGGGCATCGGGGGTCGCCAGGGTGGAGTCCCCACAGCCTCAGACTCGGGATGCTCCACTGCTCTGCCTCCTGCTGCTGCCTCCTGCCAGAGCACAGGGCTCATCAATCTGAGCGCGCCTTGCAGGAGAGCAGAGCTTGAAAGAGAAACGGGGAACGGAATTGATTTCTCTGAGCCATCTCTGAAGTGCTGGACATCAAAGGCAGGGCTGACCCACACCCCATCCTCTGTAGCCCTGGCAGACCCAGCCCTGCTGCTGCCTGACAAGATCTGCTGCTGCCATGATCCCGAGCAGCATCCAGCTTTCTCTGCACACTCAGATGGGATTTTCTGCACTGATGCTCCAGCCTCCCACCCCGTGAGGAGCTGGAGATGCTCGTGCAGTGGCTTCTGGCAGAGTTAAACCCCAACATGAAGCTGCAGCCCTTGACAGCTCCTTCCACTGCACTGGCTGTTATTGAGGCAACAGAGGATTGCTTAGAAATAACAATAATTCTGCAGCAGACATGAACAGGTGACTCCTACCCTGATCCCCTAGTCCCTGACAACACGATGTCCCTTAAATCAGAGACTTTCTGTGTTCATGTAGCCTGCCTTGTTTGCAGGGGTTTTCTCTGGGACTTACCTGACTTTAAACAAACAAATCACACGTCTGAAGAGCTGGGAGCCTCTTCCTGAGCTGGGCCATAAATAATGAGTGAGGAAGGGAGCACAGAAAGGGCAGGCAGAGTGACAGGGACCCGTGCTTGCTTCCTGCAGCCTCATTCCTTTTCCCCAGGCTCTGTTTCTCCCCACAGCCCAGACTGATATCCAGAATAACCCCAACATGAAGCTGCAGCCCTTGACAGCTCCTTCCACTGCACTGGCTGTTATTGAGGCAACAGAGAAATAACAATAATTATGCTTAGAAATAACAATAATTCTGCAGCAGACATGAACAGGTGACTCCTACCCTGATCCCCTAGTCCCTGACAACACGATGTCCCTTAAATCAGAGACTTTCTGTGTTCATGTAGCCTGCCTTGTTTGCAGGGGTTTTCTCTGGGACTTACCTGACTTTAAACAAACAAATCACACGTCTGAAGAGCTGGGAGCCTCTTCCTGAGCTGGGCCATAAATAATGAGTGAGGAAGGGAGCACAGAAAGGGCAGGCAGAGTGACAGGGACCCGTGCTTGCTTCCTGCAGCCTCATTCCTTTTCCCCAGGCTCTGTTTCTCCCCACAGCCCAGACTGATATCCAGAATAAATCAGCTCAGGATCATGAGATTGTCTTTTTGTCATCCTCTGCTGCTTCCCTTCCCAGAGCAAGGGACGGGAACTCAATGGTAAGTGCTAAGTGCATTTAAACCTGTTAAATCTGTTGTACAACAACAGACCCATGGGGGACCCCAGCCTCGCCCACGGACACTAGAAAACAGATTCTATCTCATCTCACAACACCAAAGAGTGGCTTTAACCAGAAGCCAGCTGCAGGCCACACCGTGGCTTTGTGCTCTCCCAGGAACACGTGGAGCCTGATGGAGCCTCCGCCACATTCCTCCACTGCTCAAGGGCTCCAGCCTGGAAGGCAACCTGCACTTCACATCTGCAGCTCTGCTCAGGATCCATTAGCATCAGGACTGTGTGTTACAGAGCCTTCTCACCCATTATCCCTCCCTCCCACGCTGCCTGCCCGCTGTCAGCACTGCAGGCTGCCCCGGCCACTCACGCTATTGTTCCTCCATGACACACCGAGTGCCAAACAGCAAAGAACTTCATGTGTCATTTGGATCCCGACCTCAGATGAAAGGGTTTGGCTGAACCTCAAAGACCCACTCCTCTCCCCCTATGTTAAATGAATGCAATTCAAATGAAATTGGGTTTTTAAGAAGCTGGTTGGCACCGAAGCGAGGACAAAGCCCAGCAGAGTGGGTGTGGACATGCCAGGTCCCCTCTCCATGTGGTTCCAACAGCTTGTGCTTTTTAACAGCAGCAGACCAAGAAACACAGAGCTTAGTCATTTGAATAAAGCAAGCAAACACACGCCTCCCCACAGTCCACTGCTGAGACAGAGCAAAATACCTGAGTGTGTGTTTGATACACGCAATATAAAGCAATGCAAGGCAGCTGAAGGGCTCTCAAACCCTTCCCGTGCCCTCTTTGCAGAGCCCTGGGGACTCGGGCAGAGCTCAGCGCATGGCCTGTGCCCAGAAAACATGGCAGAACAGGCTGGACAGGGCTCTGAGCAATCCCACCTAGCGGAAGGTGTCTGTGCTCATTGGTGGGGGGTTGGACTGAATGAGCTTTAAATGTCCCTTCTCACCCAAACCGGGAATCCCTGGACACAGGATTGGGGAATCACGGATTGGGGCAGAGTGGCCACCAACAGCAATCACCCAGCAGGGTGAGAAAGAGAAACAGGGAAAGGAATTGCTGCCCAAAGAGGCTCCAGGAGCAGTTCCCCTGGAAGATCCCAGCCACATCACCCACACACTGGCTGCCTCCTGCGCTGCCTACCTTGTGCGAGTAGTGCTGGTCCACGATCCTGGCCAGGCCGAAGTCGCCGATCTTCAGCACCAGGTCCTCCGTGCTGATGAAGATGTTGGCCGGCTTGAGGTCGCGGTGCAGCACGTTGGCCGAGTGGATGTACTTGAGCCCGCGCAGCAGCTGGTACATGAAGAGCTTGGCGTGCTCCTCGGCCAGCTTGCCCTGCTCCAGCAGCCGCGCCAGGTCCGTCTCCATGTACTCCTGCACGATGTACACCATGTTGAACTTGAAGAAGTCCCCGCGCAGGTGGGCGCCCTTGGGGCCCAGCACCTCGTAGACCTTGACGATGTTCTCGTGCTCGAGGCGGCGGATGATCTTGATCTCTCGGAAGGCGTGCTTCACGCTGCGCGCATCACCCAGGGTCAGCTTCTTCACGGCCACCTTGCGGCAGCTGCGGCTGTCCAGCGCCGACAGCACCAGCCCGTTGGCCCCGTAGCCCAGCGGGCGGAAGTTGACGAAGCGGCAGCCCAGGTCGTAGCCGTACATGCTGGCCAGGCAGTCGCACTTCTCTGCCATGGCGCTCTGCCCGCTGCTCCGCGCTCGTCACTGGGAAAGCCGGGAATGCGCCAGGGCCTCCAGGTCAGAAAGGCAGCTGGAGAGCAGGGCCCTCATCATTACGCACAGGTGCCCGGGGAGGGGGCTCGCTCTGAGCCCGGCGCTTCAAGATGACACAGGGTGAAAATAAATCTGAGGACACACGCAGAGAGAGAAATAAAATGTTTTAAACTGGGTGAGAAATCAATGGACTTTCTAAGGAGAGTAGAGAAATGCAGCCTGGAGATCTCTATCAAAGAGAGATCCATTTGATGCCCGTGCCTTGCCCATATCACAGCTTGCTGAAGGCTGACCATGAGCTAAACTGTGACCTTTCAGAGGATCATCAGTCATCCCCTCCCAAGGCATGCAACACCACCAGCATTTTTCAGCTGCTTAATTTTCCCTTTTTCATTTGTAAGTCTCTGCGTCATCTGTAACTCTTCCTTTCCCCTTCTTTCCCCTTTGTTGGCTTTTTTTTTTCTCTTTTTTAAAATTTTCTTGAAAACATTGTAGTGCAATTTGCAGTAGTTGCACAGAGTGTGTCATTCATCTGTAACTCTTCCTTTCCCCTTCTTTCCCCTTTGTTGGCTTTTTTTTCCTCTTTTTTTAAATTTTCTTGAAAACATTGCGGAGCAATTTGCAGTAGCTGCACAGAGTGTGTCACGTCAGTGACTGCCCATGTAAACCACACAGCAAAACCATCACAGAAATGAGGGTGCAAACCCTCCCTGCTGGGCAGCTGAGAGAGCCACGGAGCTTTCCAGGGTATAACAACCAGAGCTGCTCAGGCAAACAAGGCGGTTTTTGCAGAAAGCCTCCAGAAGTGCGTGTGAGGATGTGACACCCCCCGAACTCAGGTCGCACAGCAAATGCCGGCAGCAGCCCCAGGATGCCATCCTGGGTTCTCTGAGATGACAGCTGGACAGGTAAATATGCACATATTTACACACGAAGGACACAAAGTTTGTTTTCTGCCCCAGGGAGGAGCTGTATGTGGTGCGTGTGGGTGAGCAGCGGCAGCAGGCTGAGCCGTCTCTGGAGCCCAGCCCCAGATCCCAGAGCTCTGTGCCTTGCGCTGTGCCAACAGCTCCCCGAGCTGCCCAGGAGCCTCTCACCGAGCTGCAGAGGCTTGGGAAGGAGTCTGCTGGCACCAGACCCTTGTCTCTGCGGGCAAACACCAACACCTGCTGGGGACAGGGGTGCACACAGCCAGAGGATCCCGGTTCTTGGGGATCTTCCTGACTGAATGTCCTTGTCTGGTGCTGGGTGACCCTGCAGAGGTGGCCATGGGCAAGGGACCACTTCTCACAGCTGCTCCAGCTGGGAAAAGACAGCTCAAGACCTTCAGCGCACTCCGATTTTCCCACTGTGGTTTTCACATCACTCGGAAACAAAATGGAACTAAAGGTCTGAAGCAGGAGCAGCAGCTGGGCTTCTCCTCCCAGATGATCAGCACAAGGTTCCCAGCGCACCACCACATCTCCCTGCAGCTCTTCGTGAGCCTAGAGGAGCAAGGACACCTCTCCTGCCTGAGCCTGGCCCCCACCCTGCTCCCAAACACCCCTGATGCCTTGCTGCACCCCATTTCCATCCTTGTGCCACCCCCGAGGGTCCTTCCGGGCTGGGGGACCTGTGGGACCACCCGGCTGCACAGGGGCTGTGACGTGACCTTGCACAGGGAGGTCCCGTGCTGCCCAGAGGAGGAACATTGAAATAAAATAAAATAAAATAAAATAAAATAAAATAAAATAAAATAAAATAAAATAAAATAAAATAAAATAAAATAATTAGAATGAAATAACAATAATTAAAATGAAATAATAATAGAGAACAATAAACTAACATAAAATAAAACAAAATAAAACAAGTAAATTAAAATAAAATAATAATTAAAATGAAATAATAATATAAATAAAATAAAAAATAACTAAAATGAAATACAATAAAATAAAATAAAATAAAATAAAATAAAATAAAATAAAATAAAATAAAATAAAATAAAATAAAATAAAATAAAATAAAATAAAATAAAATAAAATAAAATAAAATAAAACAACTGTGGATCTGCTCCTGTTGTGTTCTTCAAGCCAGAGCAATGGCTCTGTTAGAGCCCCTGATCACCAGAGGTGCTCCATTAACCTGGCACAGGGTTCACAGCCTGCTCCTGTGCCCTGTGCTCCCCAGGCAGTGCTGCTGGGACCCTCCTGCTCCCTGGCAGAAGTTACCAGGAACAACAAAATAGCAGGGAAAACACTAAACGCTGAGCAATGGCCCGTTGCTGAGGGTGGATGAGAAAGGCGGCGCTCCAGGGCAGCAGCGATTTGGGGAGGGAGCCAGCTGCCAGCTGAAATGAAGGCACACGGAGAGGATGTAGGCAGGGCAGGGATACCCTCGGAGGAGCATCTGCCAGCAGCTCCCGAGCTGTTTGGCAAGCACTGCCTGCTCCTCCAGTCGGGAAGCAAAAATAATTACAGCCTCTTTTCAATCCAGCAATTATCTAATGCTGGCTTTTGCACGCAAGGACTGAGCAGAGAAAGCTGCTGTGCAGCCAGCAGAGAGGTGCCCTGGTCCAGGCAGACCAGGGGGACAAAACCAGGCAGGGAACAGGGGGAGAAAGGGGACAGGGAGGTGGATGAACCCCGAGGCTCTGCCAGGAAAGAGCAGGAAGGTGCCCCAGCTGTGAGGCATGAAAGGGAGCAGGTGCTGCTGAAGCCCCCAGAGCTGCTGGAGGCCCTGAGGACCATGGCAAGGCTCAAGGGCAGCCTGGGACCCAGTGAGCAGCCAGGGGGCTGCAGCAGCAGAGGGGCTTTCCCCTTTTCTCCAGGAGAGAGCCTGACGAGGAGAAGAAAACAAACAAAAGTAACCAAAACTCATAAAAGTAACCGAAATCTCCTGCTGGCCAAGGGAACTCTGTGCAATAGGGCTGGGATAGGCGTGCTTTAACATGATGCCATGGTGGCTGTGAGACGCATCTCAGCACCTCAGAGAGAGACAACCCCCATTCCCAGACTCCATCCCCATTCCCAGAATCCATCCCCAGCATCCAGCCCTAGTTCCAGCATGCTGCTCAGCCTCTGCCACTCATAGCTCTGGGACTGGATGGTCCCTGAGGACCCTCCACACCAAACTCTGCTGCTCAGCTCTCTGCCACTGTGGGTTTGTTGGGACTGGATGGTCCTTGAGGGCCTTTCCACCAAACCCTGCTGCTCAGCTCTCTGCCATTCCAGGATCTGGGACTGGATGGTCCCTGAGGGCCTTTCCACCAAACCCTGCTGCTCAGCTCTCTGCCACTCATGGCTCTGGGACTGGATGGTCCCTGAGGGCCTTTCCACCAAACCCTGCTGCTCAGCCTCTGCCATTCCAGGCTCTGGGACTGGATGGTCACTGAGGGCCTTTCCACCAAACCCTGCTGCTCAGCTCTCTGCCACTCATAGCTCTGGGACTGGATGGTCCCTGAGGGCCTTTCCACCAAACCCTGCTGCTCAGCTCTCACCACTCACGGCTCTGTGGGACTGGATGGTCCCTGAGGGCCCTCCACACCAAACCCTCTGCTCAGCCTCTGCCATTCCAGGCTCTGTGGGACTGGATGGTCCCTGAGGGCCTTTCCACCAAACCCTCTGCTCAGCTCTCACCACTCATGGCTCTGTGGGACTGGATGGTCCCTGAGGGCCATTTCCACCAAACCCTGCTGCTCAGCCTCTGCCATTCCAGGCTCTGTGGGACTGGATGGTCCCTGAGGGCCATTTCCACCAAACCCTGCTGCTCAGCTATCTGCCATTGTGGGCTCTGGGACTGGATGGTCCCTGAGGGCCCTCCACACCAAACCCTGCTGCTCAGCTCTCGGCCACTCATGGCTCTGGGACTGGATGGTTCTTGAGGGCCTTTCCACCAAACCCTGCTGCTCAGCCTCTGCCATTCCAGGCTCTGGGACTGGATGGTCCCTGAGGGCCTTTCCACCAAACCCTGCTGCTCAGCCTCTGCCATTCCAGGCTCTGGGACTGGATGGTCCCTGAGGGCCTTTCCACCAAACCCTGCTGCTCAGCCTCTGCCATTCCAGGCTCTGGGACTGGATGGTCCCTGAGGGCCTTTCCACCAAACCCTGCTGCTCAGCCTCTGCCATTCCAGGCTCTGTGGGACTGGATGGTCCCTGAGGGTCATTTCCCACCAAACCCTCTGCTCAGCCACTGTGGGTTCTGTTGGACTGGATGGTCCCTTAGGGTCCTCCATTCCAAACCCTGCTGCAGTTTTGGCAGCAGAACCCCAGGGGCTGCTGAGCCCAGGCAGCGCTGGCGGGACCCCGAGCGAGCTCCCACGCCGAGCTCCTTGGCTTACTCCAGACGCAGTGGAAAGAAACCAAGTTCTGCCTCGTCAGCCTAATTATTAATAATTAGTAGAGCTCTAGAAGCACTGAAAGGGAAAACGCAACATATGAGGGGAAAAAAGGGGAAGAAAGAGCCCTGTTTTTTCTGACAAAGAGGACGAGGGCCTTTGTGGTGTCTCACCCCCAGGCTGAGCCAGGGTCCTGCTGCAGCTTCTGCAACCAGAGGAACCCAGGCAGAATGGCTCTGAAGGATGGCCCTGGAGCCCAGCAAGTCACACCTCTGTCCTCTTGTGGAACACTGAACATCCAGGGAAAAGCTGAGCTGGAACTGCAGCCCAGAGCCCAGCAGTTTTCAGGCTGGTCGGGCCAGGCTCTGATATCCATCCTGGGAGCTTCAGGAGAGCTGCAGCAGGCACAGCCAGCAGTGAGGCAGCAGTAACAGAGTCTGTGGGAGCGCCAAAGCAGTGTGTAGGGAACAAACCCGACCTGCCCACACGCAGAGGCCCCAGCCTGCTCTCTGTGCCCGACAGAGGCCAGCAAAACAAAGGGACACCCGTTCCAAGTGGTCTCAGGGAGTGACAACTTCATTCCTTCCCCAGTTACTGTCAGTCCCAGCTCGAAGAGAGGAAAGTTCTGGGCACCCCCAGGAGGCACACAGCAACGGTGCAGACCACGGATCCCCTAATTTAATGAGTATCTGTCATGGCCATCACCCAATCCTGCCCCAGGGCCCGGGGGAGCAGGAGCCCTGTGGTGCCACCAGCCTGCCCTGCAGCCACTGGGCACAGATGGACACGGGGAGGGACCAGGAAAGGATGGGGGAG